TGCCGTGACGTCGGTTCCAGCACACCTCAACCGACCTAATTCCCCCTTTACTATGCTACTCTTGGTATGCTTCCTATACGGCCTTATTTGTCCCTCACACAAACACATACCGTCCAAGAACTCAAATATAACAAGTCAGTATTTTGTGCAAAGATGTGGCCATCTTTAGTTTCTACAAGAAAATCAATTATAGAAAAGAATGGCAAAGATGAAAAGAGAACCCACTGTGGGAAATGCTGTCCACATCTGATGAATTGTGTTTAAAGGTCACTTAAGGAACAGAAGGAAATTCAGTTAAATACTAGCAGGGCCTGAATTGGTTAGGACATAAATTACAGTGTAGTGTTATGTTAGAGTTTTATAATTCTGAATTATTATGTCAAATTAACCTTTTATCCACTAAATCTTTCTATTTTTTATGCTTTTGATTCTATGACATAAATAAAATTAATAGAGAAAAAAAAGAATACACCTAGAAAGGATGTTTAACTGTCATGTGAATGTCGATTCTTCCAAATGCTGTAATGCTACGGACGAATCACAGTACAGACTTAATGGGCAACGGACGATCATGATTCTTGATTCTGAAATATGCCAGTAACGGCAAAAAAAGTTGATTTATGGGAAAAAATATAATTATTGGTTGGGGGACATCCACTATAGTCACAGATCAAGACAGCAGTGACAAAAGGAGGAAAAAAGAGGAGTAGTAAAAAAATATCTATATTTAAATATTATATATAATAAATATATAAATATATGTTTTTTGTTAATCCTCGTTTTTCCCCTCTATTAGTTACTTCGTCAGTTGATTTGTGAACCAAGCGGCAGGGAAATGTCCCTTTTTATATTATCTATATTTTAGGTACACTCATTGGTACATTATCACACCTGTTTAGAAATTCCTCTGAGCTGAAATGCCACATCGACGAGTCGAGTGACACAATGTTTTTTTCTGTACAACTTGATTCAGACGAATCACATTTTTATTTTCATTGTGCAAGTCTGCTGACAGATTGCAAGCTCGTTTGAACAGAACCTTCCTCACATCTTTCCCTTTCTATAATTGTAAAGTGCTGCGGAATATGACAGTATATAAAATGCTAATAATATAATTAATACAAACACCCAAGCTCACAGATGCACATATTTGGGGATTTTTATTAACGATTTTCAGTTCTGGGTTTCACAGATAATGTGTTGATGCATAAAGTATGTGGATGTAATTATTGTCTTTAGGTTTTGGATACATCATAAAGAATCTTGAGACCACAAGGAGAGTGTGAAAACCGGAAATTTAAATATTAATTAAAAAGGCGTGGTAAGCTGAGCTTGTAAGTCCTTTAAAAAGAGAAAAATATATATGTACACTGATTAGTCACAACATTAAAACCACCTGTCAAATATTGTTTAGCTCTCCCTCGTGCTGCCAAAACAGCTCTGATGCATCAAGGCAAGACCTCTGAATGTGTCTTGTGGTTCCTGCCACCAAGACATTAGCAGCATATGCTTTAAGATGTGGCCTCCATGGGTCAGATTTGTTGTTCCAGCTCATCCCACATATGCTCAACTGGATTGAAAATTGGGGTGTTTGGTGGCCAAGGTAACACCTTGAACTCTTTGTTGTGTACCTCAAACCATGCCTGAACAATTTTTGCAGTGAGGATTATCCTGCTGAAAGAAACTACTGCCATCAGCGAACACCATTACCATGAAGGGGTGTATGTGGTTTGCAACAATCTCTAGGTAGGTGTTATGTGTCAAAGTAACATCCACATGAATGTTAGGAGTTAAGGTTTCCCAGGAGAACATTGCCCAGAGCATAACACTGCTTTTGTCAGCTTGCCTTCTTCCCATAGTGCATCCTGCTGCCATCTCTTGCCCAGGTAAATGATGTACATGCCCCCGGCCATCCACCTGATCTAAAAGAAAATGTGATTCATCTGACCAGGCAACTTTCTTCCATTGTTCTATGGTCCATTTCTGATGCTCACAGCTTATAACATGAGCATAACAACAAGATGTTGCAGACTGTAATTCCCATCACTTTAACAACCTCTGGCTCACATGGAGGGTTGCAAGATACCAATACAGCATCTTAATTCTGTTATAATAGCCATAGGTACTCCATAACCCTTACTTCCCTTCAAATTGACTACCATGTACTCAGGGACATTGCTAAATAATATAGTCCGTCCTACATATATTGACTTAAGCCCCTCCCAAACCTGTACCATATACTACCCTAATGTAAACCCTAATATGATCCATAAATTACATTCCAAATCTTTGAATTAATTCCAAGTGTTACAATATATAAACCTATATTTTTACACCCCATTCCTCCCGTACCCTGCACCCACAGCAGTACGCACATATGATGCCAAAGATGGTTCATTAAAGTGGCACAGTCACTAAATATGTAATTTGATGGTAATTTCTCTCTGAGTATTACAGGGATCTCACAGCTAACAACAGAATGGCACCAAAAGTAGATCCTACCCATTTTAGGATCCTATCTTAGGCTCTAGCCCCTGCCAGCTTCACCCTAGCAAAGCCCCTCCACCTACTCCTTAGTATCCTCTACCCGTAAGCCTTATAGCTTGTTATAAAACACATTTTGATGAATGCAGCACCATTTCACAAAGCCTTAATAAATTGCAATGAACATGATGCACTGCACTTATTCAATTGCATGTGTGGATGTGCATTGGTTAATGCAATCGATTGCACGTGATAGTATTCCTTGATTAATGACCTACGTAATCTAAGGCTCCAGGGTATGTAGTTGTTTGCGGTTTATAAATAAGTCTGTTAAAGATTAAATGCATCAGCCGATTCCTGGATACATCCTTTCAACCATGCTGTATCCTCTGCTCACACAAGTTTTATTATTGGAACATCAATAAAGCTACATTTTATTTTAATGTGGCCAACCTTTCTCTTCCTCTCGAGAAATGGTTTGGAAAGTGTAGAAAGTATGCGTCTTTCATCTCTTTTCACTGTTTACCTGTCCCTTGAAGAAAATATGCTTCAAACAAAATAGAAAGTAGAACTTGCCTATTTGGAAATACAAAATAGCATGTCAAAATACAAACTCACAAATCTCACAATAATCATAAAAAGTATAAAAAGGTCACACAAACCTATTGTCTATTTGAACTCTGACATGAAGTATGGTGTAATTAAAACCACTGTCTATATTCCCTGTTAGATGTGAAAAGCTATTTTGTGCTTTCTGTTATCTTAAGAGAAACAATAACACTGTATGATGAAATAAAAATAAAAAATATTAAAAAATGAAAATGATAATGGATTAAAGAAGACAAACTCGTCTTCGTTTTGGGACATGATAAGTCAACAAAAAGAACAAAAGGTTTGACAGTATAGCAATATTCAGAAAAAATGCTTCTTATCTGGATGACTCCAAAGACAATATTCATTTTACAATCAACACACTGACATTTCAATAAAATACTTTAATATGTTAGCAATGGAGATATAATTAAGTAGAACAGCATAAAAGTAAACAACACATATTAGTTTGGTGAATTGTTCTAATAAATTACAATCCACCACAATAGGTGTAAAAATGAAATGTGGATAAAAATAATTTATTTGAAATACATCAAAAATACATGAATTAAAAAAAAAATAACAAAGACAAACTATTCATAAACATTTAAGACAATGTTTAGAAAATGCCTATATTAGTCTTTCGGTAATTAAAAAAACTGTCTTGTCTCAGGATTTCTAATATTATGTTTACTTATCTCGATATAGAACAAATATGTACTTGTGAAGTGTGAAGAATAATATTAAATCTAGAACTCCCTACCTCTTTATCCCTAAACTTGGCGCCTCCATCTTTGCTCCGTGACAATCATTGTTATAAGCTCTGCCCTTTGCACCTGACAGTCAGCATAGAGAAAGCCTACAGATGAGAATTTAAATTAAACCGAGTTGTTCCTGCTCTTCACTAGAGGTGTTTGTCCTGGTTTTTGCCTGAACTTTAGCATCTCAGAAACAAACGTTAACACAAATTAAAGATGTAAGCTTGTTTGAGCAGGGTCCTCATCAACCTATTGTTCCTGTAACATTTTGTAATTGTCTCATTTATTGTTAAATTTCCCTCTTTATAATATTATAATATAAGTGCTGCAGCATAAGTTAGCTTTATATAAATAATAATATTAATAATAATAATATGATTTTGTGGATGTCTTCAATTAGATATGCAGATTTATACATTATAGAGCTTAATATAGAAGTCTTATAATACGAAAGCAAGATCTAATTCACAGACTTGTGCATTCGATTTCAAAATAATTGTGGTCCATCTGAATTTTGGGTGATGAGTGGGTTATCCAAACTCTGTAACTCCAAAAGAGAAAATGGGCGAGCTGTTTAGTCATTTTGGTCATTAAGAGTCCTAATAGAAAAAAAAGTTGAGTGATGCTTGGGGACAACCATTGAATGTTGATTTAATTCACAGATCAAGTGAGAAGTAGCCAACAGATGGAAAAACAGATGGAAAAAAGAGGAGCAGTAAAAATATTATATTTATATATTTGTTTCTATATTAATTATAATAAATATATAAATATAGATTTCTTTTCAATGCTTCTCTTATTCCCTCTTTTGGTTACTTCTTCTAACTTGATCTGTGAGCCAAATGGCATGTAAATGCTCCTATCAATGTACTGCACAATATATACATAATATTTGCATAATAGTTTGCAGTACATTTTTGTGCCCTTTTGGTTTGTTCAAATTGTTTTTCCAAAATCAGTTTCATGGGCAAAATTTGACATCTGAACAAATTTCAGACCACCCAAACTAAATTTTTTTTTTGGATGAATCGATTCAACTGAACCAAATTTTGGCACAATAAACAAGTGTTCTAGTTCATGCCATTATATCATCTAAATTATTTGATTTAGTTTTGTTTGAAAAAAAATATTAATTATAATTCCTCTAGTAATAAAGTGTCATCATTGTTAGAAGCAGTATATATAGGGGGGCGTGGCCTGACCGCGATGCAGAGCGGACGCTTGTGAGCTGAGCTCCCGCTGAACCGAGGCCTCATAGCCGACAGAAGCCCTTTCTACGAGCACCAGCTACCCCGAGACGGCACCGGCAGCAGCGGTATGGACAAGAGGACCCCGCGGAAACCCCATAAGCGGCCGTCAGAGATGGGCGCTTCAGTGGCAGACCTCTTTGCAGTTTCCCACGCATCCCAGCCGGCGAGGCAAGATGGCGACCACCTTAGCCCCAGGACCTCCCCAGTGCCTGAGCACCCGGAGCCCCCCCGGGGGCAAGGTTTACCGGCTGAGGAGACTTCCCAGATATTGGCACAGCTGCTGGAGGTCAAGGCATACCTGGCAGGGGAGATAAGCAGATCCGCGGCGGAGGTGAAGGCCGAGATCGCGGCACTTGGACACCGCACGGCAGCCCTGGAACACAGGCAAGAGGCAACAGTCCTGGCACACAATGAGGTAACATGTAGGGTGAATAGCCTCACAGCCAGGCTGCTAGCAGCTGAGACTGCTCTGGAAGATTTGGCAAATCGTTCCCGCCGAAATAACATCAGGCTGCGAGGCCTGCCAGAAAAGGAGGGGGACCTGACGGACACGGTCATGGCGATCCTAAAACCCCTAGCACCAAACATTCCAGCCCAACTGTGGCATCTGGACAGGATCCACAGGGCCCTGGGAACCAGGAAGGTAGATGCCAAACAGCCGAGAGATATCATCATGCGCTTCCAACATTTCCAAACGAAAGAAACTATAATGAAGAACAGCAGAGAAGGCCCTATCAAGTAAAAAGGGAGCACTTTGCTACTGTTCCAGGACCTAGCCCCAACAACACTCCAGAGACGCAAAGAATGGCGACCGATCACCGACATCCTCAGAACCCACAACATAAAATATGCATGGGGCCATCCATTTAAGCTTATGGCGTTCAAGAATGGCAGACCAAAGATCCTGCAACCTGATGGTGACGCAGTAGCTTTTCTCCAGGCGCTAGACCTCCAGGCTCCGCCAGACCTGCAATGGCGAACGGCGACTCCGACAGACCTGCAACCGCTACCCAGAGAATGGCATACAGCGGGGGAAAGAAGACACACACCGTAGAACGGACACACACCAGGAACCCGCACCCGGATCGCCTAGCCCAGATGGACATCTCCAGGAGGGTGAGATGACAAGGGACATGAGGGACGGGTAGTGACTCGCCCCCATCCCATGGTTTTGACACCACTAACGCCCACAACCAAATCCCATTACGGGGGGTTCTCCCTATCCTTGGGTACGCACAACAAACTAAAAAAAAGAAAAAAAAAGAAAATAGCAACCTATATATATCTATATATAGGGGTTCCATCCTGTATCCACGCGAACATTGTGCGGGGAGGGAACAGGGCCGCCAGTCAAAAATTCAAAAAAAAAAACAACAAAAAAAAACAACTAAATACCTTTTTTCCAGAACACTTTTGGGAGGGGGAAGTTGGACTCATCTACAAAGAGGACTTGAGGCCGCTTGTGTGGCGGTGGGGGTGGGGATGCTGCTGGAGGGGGGGGAGGGGGAAACCAGATTTTTATGTTGTAAGACTGTCATTAGCGACCTGACCCACAGGGCCAATGGGCCATTTCATATAAATATACTATACGGACCATCCAGAACAGACACAGACCGATCATGATATTGTACACATGCGAACAGGGGATAATGCACAACACCTTGCTGCGATTTACCCACCTGTGGGGAACGGACACATCGGCTAGGCACGCACTCACAGGGGCACTCCCACACTTAGGGGAGACTGAGTCGGGGCGTCCCGCCCGCTGAGACACACACACCCCCCTCTCCCCCCCGGACAGGATCACAGCAACTTAGCGACCCCTAAGCGGAATGGGACTTTCCCCAACCCCCTGGGCGACGTGGAGACCGACGGGCGGGAAGGCCTGGATACGGGGATAACCCCGCAGACGTGCTCACGCAACCACTAATGGGCCTCAGGTCAAATTCATTCAGGTTCGGGACCATGCATCCGCGAGCTGAGCCCACTGCAGGAGGGCCAGATGCGCTGATGCAGATGCCCCGCACAAGTCTGGCGAGCGATAAGACCAGACGGTTTATCAGTTCAATCGTTTATTGTATATATGTTTGTGTTTATGATATGGTTAACAACCTCTCTTTTTCCTCCCTACCTTTCCCTCTAACCCCCGTGGTGGCCGGAGCGACCTGAAAGCGGTATATGAAACAACAGAGGGACGAGGTCCCCCAAAGGACAACCCCCAAGGCCAACCAGAGGACGTCACCAGTAAGGTATATGAAACAACAGGGGTACGAGGTCCCACAAAGGACAACCCCCAAGACTGGCCGGAGGACGTCACCAGTAAGGTAGCCCACACGCTCACTCTTAAGACACCACCATGTCTACACACATACACTCCCTAAATGTTAAGGGACTAAATGCCCCAAAAAAGCGTAGACTGTTATATAGAGAACTTAAGAGACTAGGCCCAGATGTGGCCTTTTTACAAGAAACCCACCTGCCCAAAACCCTGGGCATAACTCTCAAGGCTAGGTCACACTCCAAACGCAACGGTGTAGCGATACTAATACATAAACGATGCCCACTGTGCGTCACGGGGGTCCACACAGACACGGACACTATTTGCCCACACCATCCACCTCATTAACATTTATGCTCCCACAGACCCGTCTAGGGATTTCTGGGACAAAGTGGCAGACAAATTAAAAACCCTGCCTCATGGTATGCTTATCATGGGGGCGATTTTAACGCCGCCCCATGCCCGGCTATAGACAGAGGCAACATAAGAGATTTACCACGCTCACACGGCAGGGGGAGGCCAGACAAACTGATCCACGACTTCCTCTGCTCTACGGGTCTGATAGACGTGTGGAGGGCCCACCACCCGGGAGAAGCAGACTATGCGTTCTACTCCGCGCCACATGACTCGTACTCCCGTATTGACTATTTTTTAGTAAACGATCACGCCATCCCAAAGAAGTCCACAATAGGTTCTATCACATGGTCAGACCATGCAGACATCAGCTTAGAATTAGGAAACCTCTGCACCACGACTCAATGCTTCCCTATTGCATGACCCTACTATTAGAGAGACTATTCGCACAGAGATAGTAGAATATTTCCAACTCAACTCCTCCCAGGAGCTAACTCCCGCCACGGTATGGGCTGCTCACAAAGCGGTTATCAGAGGCACTCTCATAAGGGAAGCCACCAGGAAAAAGACACTGAAAACACAACGCCTAAAGTCCCTTCTCCGTGACTTATACACACAAGAGCAGAGACACAAAACCAACCCTACCCCAGATGGGCTTCTAGCCCTACAGACTACCCGACGCCACATAAAGGAAACTTTGGTGGCCGACTTAGCGAAGGCTATGCTCTGGTCTAAGAGAACATATTATGAACAGGCTAACAAAATGCACACATTTCTGGCCCGTACCCTATGCCCACGCCCACGCCGAACACATATCACCGCACTCAGGGATCGCACAGGTCAGATCAAAACTGCACCGGCAGACATAGCTCAGATATTCAAAGAGTTCTACACTACCCTATACAATCACACACCTACCGAGGCTGACAAAACACAGCACCTACGAGACGAGATACGACAATACCTAGGCAAAATTGACCTCCCGAAGCTGACCCCTATAGCAATAGAGTCCTTAGGAGACGAGGTCACGGCAGACGAAATAGATAGAGCGATATCGCGCCTCAAAGGGCATAAGGCCCCGGGCCCCGACGGCTATGTGGGCAGCTATTATAAAACATACCGAGAAGAACTGACACCGCACTTACTAAAATGGTTCAACTATTTGATGCAGGGTGGACGACCAGACCCAGACATGTCCACGGCCCATATAATACTGTTACCCAAACCCGGAAAAGACGCAACATACCCTGAAAATTACAGACCCATATCACTGATCAACCAAGACGTTAAAATACTAGCCAAAATACTAGCGGATAGACTGTCTCCACACCTAACACGCCTGGTCCACGCAGATCAGGTGGGTTTTGTCCCTGGAAGACAGTTATTTGAGAACACCAGACGCAACATAGACTTAATCTGGACGCAGACGATCACGCACACACCAACGCTCATTCTATCACTTGACGCCGAAAAGGCGTTCGATAGGGTAAACTGGACATACCTGTTCAAGCTCCTTCGACATCTCCACTTCCCCGAACAATACATAACCACGATCCAAGCCATGTACATGGACGTTAAGGCACACATTCAGATTACGGGCGCTCAGACAACCCCTTTCAACTTACACAACGGCACGCGCCAGGGTTGCCCGCTATCACCCCTCCTGTTCGTCATCACACTAGAGCCCCTACTACAGGCGATCAGATTGAACCAATTAATTCACGGAATCTCAGTGGGGGACCAAACATTCAAAGTATCAGGCTATGCGGACGACGTCCTTCTTACGCTCACGACCCCAAGGACCTCAATGTTAGCCTTAGATAAAGAATTAGCAGACTACGGAGCCTTATCGGGATATAAGGTTAACCTGCGCAAATCTGCCGCACTCCCAATAGCAATGACAATGCACAACGCTACACACATAAGAACCCAACACCACATACCTATAACGCACACTTCCATAAAATACTTGGGAATACAACTAACCGCTGACCCCTCACAACTATACGGGGCGAATTACACACCACTCCACAACACCCTTAGTGCAGACCTAGACAGATGGACCGACAAGTCCATATCCTGGATAGGGCGGGTCCATACGATAAAAATAAACATCCTCCTGAGACTCCTCTTCCTTTTTCAAGCGCTCCCCATACCCATAACTAAAACGGAACTAGCCCCCTTGCAGAGGTCCATAGGGGATTTTATTTGGCAACGCAAGCGCCACAGAGTAGCACGCAATGTAATGTATAGACTCAAGGAGGGGGGTGGACTGGGCCTCCCCCATCTCTATAACTACTATTTAGCGGCCCAACTGGCTCAAATAGCTATGTGGCATTCGACACCGGACGAACGCAGATGGGCGGACTTAGAATCAGGAATCACGGGAGCTGACCTGCCTCAATTTTACATGTGGGTTCCCAGGGAACACAGGGCTATTCTGCGCACCGATTGCCCTGCAATCCTCAATTCCCTTAGGATCTGGGATGCAGTGGGCCAAAAATACAAACTAACCACCTCACCCTCTCCTCTGATGCCCCTGTTGAGGAACAGAGCGTTCCCACCGGGAATGAGGGCCCGAGACTTCAAAAACATTGAGGTAGCGGGCCTACAGCGAGCGATCCACCTGTATCAAGGGAACCAAATAGTGACTTTTGATAAGCTACAGGAAAGCACCAGGCTAAGGCCCTCCAACTTTTTTCGCTATATTCAAATCCGAGACTTCGCACAACACAATCTGGCCAAAAAGGCAGCACAAACTGCGCCCACAGGCTTTGAACGAATGTGTCTCAATGAAAACCCCCCAAAGGGACTTATTTCATACCTATACGCACATTTATGCACAAACAGTGAGTGGGGCGACATGACCTACACCGGCCACTGGGAAACAGATCTCAAAGAGACCCTAGAGGGCACGGAGTGGAGGGAAATATGGGATGCAAACAAAGCTATTTCCGCGTGCGTTACCCACCAGGGACAGGCCTATAACACCATGCTGCGGTGGTATACCACCCCAGTAAAATTATACCGTATGCGTAAAACCCCAAACGACTTGTGTTAGAGGGGCTGCGGAACCAAAGGGACGTACATCCATATGTGGTGGGAATGCCCGAAAGCGCAGGCCTTCTGGAGGGAAGTGGGCAACCTCCTAAATTAGGTTTTTAACAGACAAGTCAAAATAGACCCATGGGTTTTTCTGCTCTCCAGAGCACTAGAAGACTGGCCCAAAAAGGAACAGAAACTCCTACACAAAATCACGTTGGCGGCCAGACTCACCATGGCGCAGACGTGGCTTCAAACTACAATCCCACAGATAAACACTGTACTCCACAAAATCAAAGATATCCAGGTCATGGACCAGCTTACAGCACTAGTGAGAGACACCATGACACGATACGAAAAGGTCTGGGAACCATGGTTAACAGGGAACTGGGAGAGCTATGGAAATCCCACTACAGGGCCTTCCCAAGGTGCCAACACTTAACAAGACACCAACAGAGCCTCACGCCGCAACGCTCCGGACCCCACCACGGGGGCCCTCACCCCTCCTCCCCTCCCCTCCCCTCCCCCCCTCCTTCCCTACCCCTACCTTATATACAACACCGTTGCTGGAAACGGGACCAAGACTGTCAGTACCTAACAGCACAGGGCTAAGGTCGATATTAAACAGGTCCCCCTGCAACGAGAACGTTTTCACAGTTAATACCACAGATTAATGTGGGCTGAAACCAGAGCTTGACATTAGCGGTACTTACAATACCCAGTTATGGCATGCTTTCTTCACTCTTTTTTCTCTTTTTCCTTGTTATTGTATAAGGCTTACAATTTCTCATAAAATGTATGTTTGTATGAAAATGAACGAAAAATGACACTCACTAGCCCATTCTTCCAAACTGAACACAATCACGCGAACTGTAACGATGGTATACTCAGATGTAAATTGGATTACGGATTGGTTACTTATACCATGTAATACATGTGTTTCTTCATTATTGTATCGCACTGTCATGCCAAAAATAAAGAATTAAAAAAAAAAAAAAAAGAAGCAGTATATATAGAGCCACTATACAAGTAATGCAATACTTCAATGTTTTGGGAGAAAGATTCAGGAGATATGTTTGTTAGAGCTTCTAACCTAGATTAGAAGACCTGTTTCACTTTTCTTTATTGGATCACAATGTGATATCAGTCCCTAGCACCTGCACAGGCTCACTAATTAATTCCCATTTGCATAAAATCATTTTAAAGAGTGCTACAGAGAGAGGGAAACAAATTAAATGATCAAACATATTATCATTTAACTTATTAAATGGCGGAACAACCTTATCCAATAGAGAATCCATTGAAGGGATGGAAACTACGAAGAACCCTAATCTGGTCACATTCCTTTTAGAAAATGAATAGATGAAGCAAAGGCAGAAGAGACTGTAGTAACCTAGTTTCCTTATGTTGCATACATTTATATGAAATTGATGGTTCTCATTAAGTCAACCAAAATAAAAATAAACAAACAAACAAACAAACATGATTTATGATTTGGCCAGCCATAAAAGGGAACATTGTCCTGGTTTCATATCACAAGTATCTCCTGTGTGATGTAGGACATGTAGCTAGGCCAAACAGAACCGACTCCATATTGCTTGATTAACATGAGCATGTGGCCTTTAGAAATAGCACAATTCTCAGTATTGTGTATAATTGCAGTTATGTGAAACAAACAGGGCCTTAAGACATGAAATTTAGAGCCATTTATTGTGGAGACACAAGGAATGATGCTATTATGCAGGAATGTAGATATGACCATGTTGGACCACGATGTGTGTGTACATGAATATTGTATGTAATTGACCATAAATGACTAAATATATCTGTGTTAACTATTAGTACTAATGGAAATGTTTATACAATCAGAACACACACTGCTTTCTTACCTTGAATTTTATGTTCTCTCTGTAACCCTGAATCTGATGGAAACTAAAGGAATAAACAATGGCACAAATAGTATATTTATTTTCAAGTAAGTTATTAACCCCTTAATGACCGCGGACATGCAGGGTATGTCAGACATAAAATGCTTCCAGCCGCTCTAAGGTTATTGCCAGCCAGCATCGTGGAATACCCCCTCTCACTGCTGGGCAACCGAGTGATCGCTCCCCCCGGAGTGTAGAGCAGAGCATCAGAAGCCTTCAGACAGGCTTCCGATGCTCTGGCTGTAATGAGTGCCTCGAGGGGTCAAAGGCACTCAATTAAAATAAAAAATAAAAAATAAAAATAAATAAATATTTTTTTTTTAAATGAACCCCTACCCTTCCTCCCTCTCTCTCCCTCCCCATGTACTTACCGATTGCCGCCGTTCCCCCACCGAAGATTGGTCTTCTTCTTAGGGGGCACAGGCCCCCCTCTGCAAATTAGGACCCCCAGGAGCCATGTGACCACTCTAAAAGAGCGGGCACATGGCCGCAATAGGTGTCCACAGTGCTGCAAGTAGGGGGACTGCCTGAACTGACAGAGTAAGTAGCCTATGGAACTGAAATTGGTTAAGTCACTTATTAACTGCCATTTCAGGACTGCTAGCTTTGCACAAATATCATCATCAGGATCTAAATTTTGTCTGTAAAAGAAACAAAAGAAAACCTGAAACTGTTATACAATATGATTTAGATTGACGTGAGTCATGTGATTAGAGAAACATGGGAAAAAAAATTGATAAACTGTTCATTCTGTTCAGCTTTGTACTTTTGCTGCAACTGCAACAACATATTTGGTATATATATATTTAATCTCCAAGTAGGATATGGAAGATCCCATACTATAGTTGGATGTCCTCACATGTCACAATAGTGGAACTATAGCTATACCCCCATATAATATGCATCAGTTGAGGGAAGGGCTATGTTAGTACATCTTCCAATTCCTGGCAGATAGTGAATTAGAAAAGATTTCTGAAATTCTCACATTTCCAATTTAGTTAATGTACGTCCCCAGGAAGGTACGTCTCAGCAGATGGATAGAATATATAGGCATTTGTTTTCCTTTGAAAGGTAGAACTGTAAGATCCTGAATAAAGGAGTAGACTAGATAGAATGTAGACCCTGTGTCAATAAAGAGAGGTGTTTTGAAACACACTACAGTCTATTAAGTGGAAAAGACTGGAGGAAGCACATAAGAAAAAATAGTTTTTGTAAAAAGTAACTATGTACATCGAGAGTGATCTAGGTAAGTTACAACTCACAAACTCCAGGTTATTTTTAAAATACTACTTTGCCTTTATACTGTAAGTGTTTTGCATTAAATGTCCAGACACAGAAGTCCTAGCATACACAAACTGGGTAAATTTAGAAACAAAGTCCAAGAGTAGATTTAGCATTTCTGAAGCCTATACACAAAGGTGGCATTTTCACAAATGGCTCAAGTATTACACATACACATTCTTACACATACATCTCCAGACAGCCATAATTATCAGTGAGTTAGTATGTGCTGTGGAGAAAGAAGGGGGCGGGGGTGTAGTACTGCAGTACTGTTTGTTGTATATTTTATATGTTTAATTAGTTAACCCTACCCGTAGGGAAAATATTGTTAGTAGTTTATTCTATTAACATTTTTTATTTTAATTATCCCAAAATGTATCTAATTAAACACTGCCCTGGTTGGAAGAGCCACGGACACATGGGTTAATCATACTTTAGAAAATACTTAAGGCCTGGATTCTAGACTGAGAGGATTTGAGTTATTTGAGCCAGCCTAGTGTTCAGTAGAATTGCCGAATTCTGAGGGGGGGTGTATGTCAATAATCTGAATTCCACCTGTGACTCAAAAAACAAAAAAGACGATTAATGGCTAGGTGTCATGGGACCAGACCCCTATGCCTGAATGTAGATGATGAGCGGAGTCTTCAGTGTGGTAGTGGATCAGTAGGGCCTGGTGCAGGGTAACCGCACACCCCCTGGTGTTGAGCACCAGGGTTTGTGCGGCCACATACCAAGACCCTGTTGCAGCTTAGCAGATGTCAGAGCAGAAGTATGCTGAGATGTATCCAGTGAATGGTGTCGGGAGCAAGGATTTGGCTTTATTTCTCATGGTAGCTCTGTTTGGAATGGAGGTAAGCTGTACAAAAAAGATGGTTTGCATCTTTCTCAAAAGGGAACAAATGTTCTCAGTGAGCAGTTCAGAGGTTTTGCTAGGATGTATTTAAACTAGGAGGGGGGGGCAAAAGGGTGATAAAACATCAATCCAATTGTCCCCAAAAACAAGGACAGAAGGTGCCTGTAGCAAGTGTGTTAAAAAATGATAAGCTTAGAGTCATGTCTACAAATGCTCGCAGTTTAGGGAATAAGATCCATGAACTTGTGGCAATAATGGCAACTGATAGTGTAGATTTAGTCGCTGTTACTGAGACATGGTACAATGAGAAAAATGACTGGGGCGTAGCAATACCAGGGTACTCTTTATATAGGAAAGATAGGGAAGGCAAGAAAGGGGGAGGGGTGGCCTTGTATGTGAAGGATAGCATAAAATCTAGCCTAATAAAAGTTAGTGAGGCAAACATAGAGTCCGTTTGGGCTACGTTAGAATTTGGTAATCACACAGTAACTCGTGTAGGTGTGATTTATAGGCCCCCAGGACAAATTGAAGAGTTAGATAATCTACTAGTTGAGGAAATAGCTAAAATGACAATGAAGGGGAAGTTATCATCATGGGTGACTTTAATCTTCCTGATGTAAATTGGAAAACAAAATTAGCTACTTGTGCCAGGAGCACACATATTCTAAACTCCCTACTGGAGTTGTCTCTAAAGCAAGTTGTTGAGGAGCCAACTCGTAAAGAGGCCATACTAGATTTAGTGTTAACAAATGGAAATTTGGTATCAGATATTACTGTAGGTGAAAGTTTAGGATCCAGTGATCATCAGTCAGTGTGGTTTAATATAAGAACAGTGACTGAGTCACACCACACAAAAACAAAAGTTTTAGACTTTAGAAAAACAGACTTTTCTAAAATTAGAATATGGGTAGAGGAGTCATTATCAGACTGGAGCAATTTAAATGGAGTCCAAGAGAAATGGGATTATTTAAAAGTTGCACTATTGAAGGCAACAGAAAATTGCATTAGGCTTGTCAGTAAAAGCAAAAAATTCAAGAAACCACTGTGGTACTCCGCAGATGTGGCCAAAATAGTTAAAAACAAAAAGTTAGCATTTAGGAATTATAAAAAAACCCAGAGTGAGGGAGACAAAATGATCTATAAGATTAGGCAGAAAGAGGCTAAGCAAGTTATAAGAGCTTCCAAATCACACACAGAAGAGAAAATAGCACAGTCAGTAAAAAAGGGGGATAAAACATTTTTAGATACATAAATGAGAAAAGAAAAGTAAAACAAGGATTAGTTAGATTAAAAACAAAAGAAGGAAGGTATGTAGAAGAGGATAAAGGTCAGGCTGACTGCCTCAATGAATATTTTTGTTCTGTATTTACAGTAGAAAATGAAGGAAAGGACCTCAGTTGAGAAAAAGGATAAATGAGTCATTTATTACACGTGAGTTTACAGAGGAAGAGGTTCTATTTCAACTGTCAAAAGTAAAGACAAATAAGTCAATGGGACCTGATGGAATACACCCAAAGCTATTAAAAGAGCTTAGTGGTGTACTAGCAAAACCATTAACAGATTTATTTAACCAATCATTGTTAACAGGAGTAGTCCCAGAAGATTGGAAGTTAGCGAATGTTGTGCCCATTTACAAGAAAGGTAATAGGGAGGAGTCGGGCAACTATAGGCCAGTAAGCCTTACTTCAGTAGTGGGGAAAGTGATGGAAACCATGTTAAAGGATAGGATTGTTGAACATCTAAAAACACATAGATTTCAAGATCAGAGACAACATGGGTTTACTTCAGGGAGATCATGCCAAACAAATCTTATTGATTTTTTTGATTGGGTAACTAAAATTATAGATCAGGGTGGTGCAGTAGACATTGCTTACCTAGATTTCAGTAAGACTTTTGACACTGTTGCACATAGAAGGCTTATCAATAAACTGCAATCTTTAAGTTTGGATTCCAATATTGTTGAATGGGTAAGGCAGTGGCTGAGTGACAGGCAACAGAGGGTTGTAGTTAATGGAATATATTCGAAGCTTGGACTTGTCACCAGTGGGGTCCCTCAGGGATCTGTACTTGGACCCATTCTCTTTAATATTTTTATTAGTGATATTGCAGAAGGTCTTGATGGTAAGGTATGTCTTTTGCTGATGATACTAAGATATGTAACAGGGTTGATGTTCCAGGAGGGATAAGCCAAATGGTAAATGATTTAGGTAAACTAGAAAAATGGTCAGAATTGTGGCAACTGACATTTAATGTGGATAAGTGCAAGATAATGCATCTTGGACGTAAAAACCCAAGGGCAGAGTACAGAATATTTGATAGAGTCCTAACCTCAACATATGAGGAAAGGGATTTAGGGGTGATTATTTCTGATGACTTAAAGGTAGGCAGACAATGTAATAGAGCAGCAGGAAATGCTAGCAGAATGCTTGGTTGTATAGGGAGAGGTATTAGCAGTAGAAAGAGGGAAGTGCTCATGCCATTGTACAGAACACTGGTGAGACCTCACTTGGAGTATTGTACGCAGTACTGGAGACCGTATCTTCAGAAGGATATTGATACCTTAGAGAGGGTTCAGAGAAGGGCTACTAAACTGGTTCATGGATTGCGGGATAAAACTTACCAGGAAAGGTTAAAGGATCTTAACATGTATAGCTTGGAGGAAAGACGAGACAGGGGGGATATGATAGAAACATTTAAATATATAAAGGGAATCAACACAGTAAAGGAGGAGACTATATTTAAAAGAAGAAAAACTACCACAACAAGAGGACATAGTCTTAAATTAGAGGGACAAAGGTTTAAAAATAATATCAGGAAGTATTACTTTACTGAGAGGGTAGTGGATGCATGGAATAGCCTTCCAGCTGAAGTGGTAGAGGTTAACACAGTAAAGGAGTTTAAGCATGCGTGGGATAGGCATAAGGCTATCCTAACTATAAGATAAGGCCAGGGACTAATGAAAGTATTTAGAAAATTGGGCAGACTAGATGGGCCGAATGGTTCTTATCTGCCGTCACATTCTATGTTTCTATGTTTCTATGTACTAGAAACAAGGCAAGGCTAGGATAGGCACCAAACATGAAAAAAAGACAAAACTAGTAGAACCCAGAATCAGAGAAGGATAGAAAGCTAAACCCAGAACATGTACACAATACATAAGGGAAACATTAACAGAACAGGGCCAGGACAGGACTGTACATAGACTGGGAATACAAAATAAAACAAGACAGGATATATAAGGCAAAACAAGAGGAGACAAAACTAAGTACTATATATGTAAAACATTGGAGATTTACATAAATGGCCAAGATGTATGCAGCCCACCAACTGTGGCAAAGTACTCCAATTAAGGTGGGAAACTAACTGCCTAAATATGCATGACTAAATAAACAATAATAAAACACACACAGCACTTACCTGCAAGAAAAGGCAGAGGACTTGTGTTAACCACCTGCAGGAACCAACTGACACAAAAGGATTAATGGAAAAGGAATGGGTGTGGCAACATAAAACAAACATTTAAAGGAATCCAAGAGACTGGGAATTCCATGAACGGAATATAGGAATGAACCCAGAAAACCCAGCATAAAGAAAACCAGACAAAGAATAGAAAACCAGAAAAACCAAGGAAAGCTATACAAGAATTGTAAAAAGAATGCTGGATACCAGAAGCCATAGTCAGACATCAGAACAGAGCTGTGCAGTTCCTGACACTAGGGAACAGTAATTTATATATAATAATAATATATATAATTTACTGTTTTCCCCTCTATTTTTTCTACTTTTTCTGTATTGTTTTTTTCTGAACCAAATGACGGGAAAAATTATGTATGTATTTTGCAGTAGATTGACTGGCCAATTTTCTTGCCTTTTTGGTTTGTTCTTCTTATTCAGTTTCTGAATTAACATTCGGCCAAGCCAAACAAACATCCGAATGAATTTCAGGTGTCCCATAAATAAATTATTTAATGATTTGACATAACGTAAAATTCTCGCTGTGCACAAGTCTAATAGATTCTCTTAGCAAAGTAAAGGTTTATTCTTGTGCCGAACGCCCCCTTGCCTGGACATTCACCACTGGCTCCTGGAGGAGTGTGGAGGCTAGCCTCCTGCCCGCTGACTTTGGGCCATAGAAAAGGCTGGTAAAAAGACTTGGTTCATGGGATATATTTTTCAGGAACCAAATAAACTTACGAACTGCGGACCAACTCTGAGCTTGTTAATCCCTGGTAACCTAATTATGTGGCTGGGTAGCACAAACAAGTGGGAACTGTGTTGGCTGCTATCTTGTTTGCGGGAATGCAGGCAGTGGTGTTTGGGAGTTGATCCAAAAGAACCAACAGTGTGTAAGCGCTATGAAATCTAGTACAGACAATATGGCAGCACTTAAACCAGTGATAAACAGAAATGTACAAAAAAATTGATAGTTACCAAAAAAAGTGCGCTTAATTAGTCTGTAGATATAAAGAGAGAAATAATAGTGCAGACTATCCGAACTAACACAAAAGTTAAAAAACAGGGGAACATGAGGGAGAAAACTCACATATACCAGAGCCCTATCACCCCTGGCTCTGGATTTTCAATGCTCCTCTGGAGAGAGGATATCCCCACACTGAAGATGACTCCAAGAAGTATATCCAACAAAAGCTTGATAATGCTGTGCAGATAGAGGATAGAGAGAGGCAGGACCTCCAATTGAATAGTATCAAATGTATTTTATTATATAACAAAAGTTAAAAACCCTTACTTGGTAAGTGGTGGGATATGCTCACAAAGCATAAAAGCATGTAAAACAGCAAAACCGAAAAACACTTCCTGGTTCCGTCTGTCCGATCATGTGATCCACTTCCGGGTCCGCCTCTCAAGTGACGTATGCGTGACGCGTTTCGCCCGCCTCCACAGGCTTCCTCTGACACCGTCATAGAACTCCAGCCCTTTCTTTTAAGCGCCTGTCTCTTCCCCCTCTGTGTTTGGGAGTCGATCGCATGGAACTAAAATCAGACACGAAAACTACCGAACACCACTAAACTTTAACGAATGCCTGCTTCCTTCCCACACATGTCAGGAGAGCGCCGTTCAGTATGTTTGTCCGGATGAACCATACAAACAAATGCTACTAAATAGCCAAAGTGTGCATGCAGTATTTCTTTCGCATGGAACTCCCGAAGTTGACCGGCAAAAGCACAAACCACCCTGGAACTGTTTTGGGCATAGGACCATGTGTGCAACCACTCAGAACTCTACCCCGGTGGTGTTTCGGCTGTATTCATGGGATCTGAGCTGGGATCCAGGCTATCCGAGGATATATAAATTATGGGGGTTCCTAGGTGGTAAATATGTGATTTTGTGTGTTTTTCATATTTTGTCATTTATTGCTGAGTCACGGTGATATTGGGGACATTTTGTGGGTGTGTTTATGGGAGTGTCATGGGCTTGTTTACTGTGTCTCTGTATTGTATATAAGTGGGCCATTGAGCCTGGATTAAACAGATTCTTTTTACCCTTCATCAAGTCTAGGCTGATATTTGGGGAACTTGGGCTATAATCACTACTGCGCTTGGGACTCAGGAGATTCATAACGGATATACTCAGCCAGAGTATAGGGGATCCATTACAATTTTATTTACTAAATATGCATTTTTCCTATGGACTTCAATACAGGGAATGTTATACAGTGAGCAGAGTAATACCCTCACTCTATTCAAGAAATTCAATAAAGGACAATGTTTCTTGTTTTTTAGGTTTCTTGTTTTTTCCTGGTGTTCATGATATATTGTAACTAACTCATAACTCCTAAGTGTCTTCCTGGCATGGAGCACCCGCCTGGAGGTAGTGCTTGAACCAGTAATTATATCTCTGGACAGACATTTGGAATTTACTTGTGATGGACCGCTTGGAACCCCGACCGGATACCTCCGTCAATCGATGCTCCTAGTGCTTTTCGAGGGCTCCAAGCACTCCACCAGACACCATAAGCACTGCAGACCCCACTTCCAGCGATGCAGCTGCACCGGGGACTTGCCGTCCTCCACCCACCCTGGACCCAAGACCAGGATCCAGCTCCCAATGGGCAGACCTCTCCTACTCCAGAGAGCGTAGCAGGAACAAACTCTTACAAGAGCTTAGTGATTAAACTCAGGGGAGTATTGTGATTATAGCAATCCCCAAGAGTGTAGTTATCCAATCCCCCAAACATGAGCCAAGACTTCATGAAGGGATAAAGCAAGTCTGTTTAATGCAAGCCAGCACTTACAATTTATACAGTTTTTCAGGTCAGAGGCACACGCCCTGGACCTGATGGAAGACAGGGACACAAGGGACATAAACCAATCAAAACAGTCATTAACAATACGACACTCCCACATACAGTAAACAATCCCTCCGCATTGCATGTGATATAATTAAAGTAGCTAATACAATAACCTAATTATCCACAGGCAGAAAAACACACATTTTCCCCAAAGTCTAGAAAACACCCCAAAACATAACATATCCCCATAAGTATTATATATAATATTATATCCCTGGATAGCCCTGATCTGCATGAGCAACATATCCAAAAATCACCTAGACCAGAGCAGGGGTTCAAAAGTTTTGTGGAAGTCTCTTTTGACCGACTGCACACATGATTTTATGCCCAAAATAGTTCCAGGGAATTAGGCTGTGCGGCCGGTCTATTTTCAATGTCTAAGTTCAGTTCAAATAGTCGAATGGGAAGAGTCGAAGTCCCGGAGAAGGTAAAGATCAGCGGTGTTCGTGCCGTCGCATGTCCGATTTGAGTTCCACGAACAAAACACAGCTGAACACGTTCGACTAAACAAGATGGCCGCACCACGTGTTCGACTATACGAACGGCGACCACCCAGCCATTTCTCAATTTGGCTGCAGTTAACTACCAGCCTGGGTGGTAAATAGGCTGCATACTCCGCTTGTGTGTGGTCCAGCTGTTCGGTGGTTCGAAGTTCCACTTTGACCACTTTGAAAGTATAAAGGGGCATTGTGCCAATTCCCAATAGGCACAATTAGGGTCTCTCAGACAAAATAGATTAAAGGGGCCATAGTCACAGGGCAAGAGGCTGGCAAGCAGGCCCCTCCAAGTACAAGTGGCGAGGTTACTTTTGCAACATTACTCATAACTCCAAAATCAACATATAGACAGGTTACATTATGATCTGATTTGTATTTGAATAATAAATGTTCTTAGACCCGTAAGACTGACATTTGGCATTTGTAATAACTTTTTTGCCCAAAAGCCAGCACTAAGCATTTATTTCTTCTGCAAAAGCGAAACAAATTGCAAGCAGATATTGCTATTATCTTTTCACTTTATTATTATTATATCTTTTACAGTGCTTACATGCAACACAGAACGATTGTTAGTTTAATGAAAGTGATATATTTTTTAAAGCAGAAGAGATCTATACCTTTAATAAAAAATTCTCTCCGCTTAAGTGAAAAATATTATATACATGCAGTCAAACTTCTAGAACATTAATAATAACGTCATGAATATTACTTTACCGAAAATGTTCTATATGGGAACTTTGCACTATTGTTTGGAGGAGAGTCAGCAGTAAATTTTAAATCTGCACTTGAAGTGGACATCTCACAAAAAAATAAAAAATAAATAAAAAAAGAATAACATATATTGCTTAATGTAGACTTTTCATAGACAATATTGCAAAGCCTGTACATCTCAAAGCACAGAGCAAAGCCATTAATGATCAGTATTAAGATAAAGTATGAAGCACTGTTTTTTAATATTATCAAAGCACAATAGGTATATATATATATATCTTACTTAAATAAGTGTTTGGTGGTTAGTTTTTCAGCCTTTTCTGCTGTCTCAACAATAAATAAATCAATGAGACAGTACAAAATAAAACAGTAGATATCAAAAACATTTCTAAAAAGCCCATAATTCGATTTTAAACAATCATAGACGTAAACTGAATATATACAAAGGAAAGTGATATATTATAATAGTTATCAGTAAAATAGTATTAATTGGGGTAGAACAATTAGGATGTAATTACATTAAATATAGACACTTAAAAGAACGCCTGAAAGAGGGCCTGAATATTTGTAATAAAAAGTTAAGGTAAACACATGTAAAATAATTTTTTTAAAATCCATGGATAATTGTTCACTGGGATAGTAAAGATTGAAGAGATGTAATTATGTAAATAACATACTCTTTAAGGAAGCAGCATTTTGTGCTATTCATATCTATTATCCTTGCATTTTAATGATAAATAATCTATCTTGTTATATAAAATAGTGATTATGCCAAGTAAGGTTGATGGAAACTTGTATTTGCCAAAAAAGCTTGGAAATAAAACCACACTTTATCATTACCGTGATAAATAAAGAGATGCCTTATATTTGAAGAACATTACTGAACAAGGGGACAAAGGAGACATATGCAAATAGTGCGAAGAAAGTATGAGCCAACACAGCTGTTATTTACGCTGTAACATTTTCAGTGTTCTATATAAAATCTAGCTATTACATGTCAGGAATGTAGGGTGCAATGTGGAACATTTGTTGAAGATTTTCCAAATCTGGGCCAGAATATCAATGTAGTCCTTAAACTTAAAGGGACACTCCACTGTCAAAAAAAATCAAAAAAAAAATCACTGTTTAGTAGATATACCACAAATATAAACACACATGCATTTAAAGTTTTGCTATAAGCCTTTTTCAACAATATGTGTTTTAAACTTAAAATGCCCTTTTAGGCATTACTATTAGACTCTCCCACCCCCATTGAAAGGCGAAAAAAAACCCTTAAACTAAACTGTCCTCCAGTGCCCGATCAAGCTCTCGGCTCCCTTCTCTGTCTGATATCATCATCATCGTTTTGCTGGCTCAGAGTGCATACACACAATCTGAGCCAGCGAGGAGGGGAGGGAGTAGGGGGCGACAGGGGAGGGCAAAGGGTAGAAGCTTAGCACGTCTGTCGCCAGTGCACTGACAATAGATTTAAAATATGCTCAGAATTGATATTAGGCAGCTCTGAAGGATTTCTGACTGCCTAAGTCATGTGTGTTGGCAGTGTAACTTGACAATATCTTTATTTGTCAGCGTTTGAAGCTAAAAGCACAGACTCCCACCAACATGACCACTTCAAATCACTAAAGTAGTCATGGTTGTTGGAGTAACTCTTATTTTGTATTTTTTCATTGTGTTTATATCTAAAAGCAGCTTTAAAGCTGCAGTTCTCTTCCATGCTTATGTGATGGACTAGTCTAAGTTACACAACTAATCAGCATCTAAATTGGCTGTTGTCCTCAATTTAGCCCTTCTCCAATTACTGACATAGACAGATAGAATCTCTATCCACATTGCTAAACCTGGCATATCAGCAACAGGAGAAAAACTAGATTTAGGGCAGCCGCCACAAATAAACTGTTGTTTGAAAATGTTAATTCTATCATTCTCTTATTGTTCTTGGGATGCCCAGGGTGTATATAAAACAACAATATCAAAATGTAAAATAAGTGATTTTTTTTTAATAGAAAAAAAAACCAAGACATATATCTTTCTTATTATCCTCTTGTATAGCAATGAGTAGTCAAATTGGTAGACTTGTTCACAGCAAAAAATTTTAAAATTTGGATTCAATCTAAAAATTTGAGTAAGCTCTGAAATATTTCTGGAAGATGGAAAATGAAGGAAAAAAGGTACATATAGTGTCCCTTAAAAATAAACAAAACACAAAAATTTGGTATCAAGTGGCAGTGGTTACTAGCAGTAGGCACTTCAAACCGAATTCCAAACTCGGAGTCAACCAAAACCGCTTGCCTATTCGGTTGATCCATGATTCGGGTATATTTTGGTTCAGAATTCAGAAATTCGACTGAACAAGCAATCAACCCAAATGCAGATGAACTGCAGTTTGGAGCTAAATGTGTCTCAAAGTTTACAATTTTTGTGCTTGCTTTTATTTTAATTTTATTTTTTTTAAATGTTATTTTTCTGTTCTATTGGATTTGGATGAAAGAAAAATCTTATTTTGCCTTCTTTTAAAGTGTATTTTTTTCCTAGTTGTGTACATGTGAAGATGATCCATTGGGACTGCCTGGTAGTTTTTGTTGCAATAAAAAAATAAAAGCATTTTTTAAAAATGTTAATCTAATATTTTGCTGTAAAAAAATTGCTGAAATAGTACTTAATATCAAGCTTCCTAACTTTCTACATGTTTTGTAGAACATAGATTTTTATCCTCTTAACTTCATCTAATACATTTTCATTTATACTCAAGCAATCTGCATTTAGTTTTTTAGTTTCTAACTGGATATTCATCTTTGACTGAGGAAAAGCAAAGCTAATTTATCCATTGGCTTTAACTCCAAATGTGACGCTGGGCTATTATAAATCTGTCATTTAATTTTATTGCTTTAATAATGAGCAGCAATAATTTTAGATCTGTGTAATGATTTGCACTAGATTCCTCATATTAAATTATAAATATCTAAATTACAAGAACCTAGAACATAACATCCTGCAATTTTAATTTTACACATTTTTCAATAACCGATAACGGACATTAATGCACAGATATGCTAACATTAGTCATCACCTAAACCAAAATGTGTGGTTAAACTGGCCAATGTTGTTTACAAAAAATCTTTCTTATAGCTTTACTAATGTTTGGTATTGTGTTTCTACAAGGTGGAAGCCCAAGGCTTATGCATGGTCTTTTTAATGCTTGGAAAAATGACATCTTTATCTATGTAGGTAATGCATTTCTCATGTGTTGCCCAATATCATGTTACTCATTGCAAAGACAGGCTCAACTTCATCCAAGGCAAAGTTTTTTAGTCAACAAACATGACACCACTGTCTGCTCTCACTGGAACTTCACTGGTTTGTACAATAAAAAATGTAAAGTAAGTACAACATTAAAAAAAATTAGAAATTAAGAAACACAAAGGATTTCCAGACAAATTTAACTTTGGTGCGGCCAACCTCTAGTTATTATTTTTCCTTTGGCCCTTTCATTCAGTGATTAGAGATGCCCTTAAGCATATAAGCTCATCGAGCAGGGCCCTCAATCCCCTCTGTTCCAGTGCATCCAACTTGTCTGATTATAAAATACGTATCTGTTAGTCCTCCCGTTGCAAAGCCTTGCGGAATTTGTTGGCGCTTTATAAATAATAATAATAATTATGTTACTCAAAAGACTGTTATTGACAACTGTTAGTTAGTATGCCTTGGTAGATGGAAGTACCTCACCAACTTCAACACAACTGACATTCTTAAAAACCAGATATTTAGTTGTTAGAAATCTGTGCATTGCATACTCTCATTACAAGTTACTTTAAGAGTTAGGGTAAGTGGCACTTAGGGTTAGGGGCAGTGGGCAGAAGAGATGTTAATGTAAGTTTAAAGAGGTGTTTTTTAATTCTTTATTTCTTTATTTTGGTGTTAAGAAAAAATAGGTACTCTTCAGTAATAGGAAAAATACAAACAAAAACACTTTGAGATACAGCTGATATATTCATAAAAAGAATGAATAAACGGAGGGGCGGGGCTAGCCCAACTTGGCGAATGGTTGCACACTGCCAGAGCTCCGGGAGCAATCTTGTTAAAATTGACCTTTTTGCCTGTTCTAATGCCTCTCATGCCTAAAACTTGGACTACCTAAAGTCTGCAGACTCCCAGCTCACCCATCTGATAGCCTGCGAGGTAACTCCCGCTGGACGACTCACAGCGACAATACCATGGCCTAGTAGTGGCCTTGCTGCGCGGGTCTAAAGAGATGGCCGATCCCTCTGCCCGCGTTCCAGTCAGACCCATGGTGGACTGCCCTGCTTACCCACCCTGCCGGTGAGGGTTATCCCGGTAACCCCAGCCACTTACCTGCATCTGGGTCTGACCTGCGTGCATCCCGCCATAATCCACAGGTCTAGCTGCGGCTTTCAAAATGGTGCTGGAACATGGCATCGAGAAGCAAGTGAGGACTGCGCTAACCTTCTTGACAACATTTGATAAAATATGTGAAGCCTTTTGGGAGCGGATGAGACTCAGAGCAGACCAAGTCCACAAGCTCACAGGCACTGATTCCGTACGGAGGAGCACCCACACACTTCTTCATCCTCCCCTGAAGCTACCGAGGGGACCCCAGAGGCTGAGCTGCTCTGGGCTGCGAAAAAGACCTTCGGTATCCTCAAGAGACTGCACAAACACCTGGCAGAGGAAGCAACTCAGGAGTCATGCCGGTCAGAGCCGCTGGAACAGACTCCCGTCCCGCACTGACTCCCTAGCAGTAAAGGGGACTCAGCAGGAGCTGGACTGGTCCGAATCACCACAGAGGCCTGACAGGCAGTCCCTTCCAAGAAGCCGGGAAGCGGTACCCACCTGCAGCACCTGGCAACCCAGCATCCAGATGGGGCATCGGCTGACTCACCTGGTGCACCCAGAGACTCTTACCCATGCAGTCTCCCCTGGGACTTCCAACCCACGCAGAGAGTCACTGGAGCTCCCTGTACCGACAGCATCACTACACCCTGTGAGACTAACATAGGAGACACCATGCCGGGCCAGGGAATGGACTACCTGTTACAGCACACCAGTGGTATCGGGGGAAGTTATCTTCATTCTAGCCACCTTCTTGGTCAAAGAGCAGGACTTAATGGAGCCCTGAATTTATACACTGCTGCTGCAGCTTACCTGAACTCTCATGCACAGGCTCCACTCTTGCCACTGGTGGAGATCGGATGATCCAGATACTGGAATCGCTGCTTGAGCTCCACTCCTAGGATGGCTATTGCCGTGTCGTCTAATCTCTGACTGGTGTTTACTCTTTAAAATATGCCACACTGCTTGCTCTTGTGCAAATATATTATTATTGGGTTTTTTTGTTCCTGTTTTTTTCTCTGTTTCTCTTATACTCTTCCTCTCCTGCAAATAGCATTAGGGTGATGTTTATTGCTCTAATGTTGGGGCATCCCAGAGTCCAGTGGTCAGATAACACTATCTGATAATCTACAGTTTATGCCATATTTTATTTTTACCTTGGTATCTCATGCCACTCCTTTACCTGCACTGTGCCGCTATTTGATACCACTCAGAATCTCCTGTGCTTAGATTGAGCAGGTCTGAATAGATTAGCTCGAAATAACTCGCTGAGTATTCTACAACCTCTAAAAATTGTCTGTATGCAGCACAGGCAAGATTTCTCATCTTTCTTAATGGTACATGCTGGAACAGTATTTATGATATTGTATCTCTTTTCAGATTACTTGCATGTCCTATAATCTTGTTGTGGCGAAAGTAACTTCACCACTTGTACTTGGAGAGGCATGCTTGCCAGCCTCTTGCCCTGTGACTATGGCCCCCGGGATGTATTGCCCTTTAAAAGCATTATTTGGGCATATTGGATTTTAAGGCACTGTTTCTGCCGCTTTAAACTCTATTGGAAAGGTGTTGCATGAACACCGCCGAACTTTACCTGCTCCAGACTTCAACGCTTCGACTGGAGTCGAACACTGTTCGACAATTTCGAACAGCACTTTAACATTGATGGTTTGCATGAACGGTTGCCGTTCGTCTATTTGAACTGAATCTAACATTGGAAATAGACCAGCCGCACAACCAAATTCTCTGGAACTGTTTTGGGCATGAAATCATGCATGCGGTTGGTCAAAAGAGACTTCCACAAAACTTTTGAAGCCCTGCTCTGATCTGGGTGAGTTTTTGATATGTTGCTCATGCAGATCAGGGCTATCCAGGGATATAATTTGGGGATATGTTATGTTTTGGGGTGTTTTGGGAAAGTGTGTGTTTTTCTACCTGTGGATAATTAGGTTATTGTATTAGCTATTTTAATTATATCCCAGGCAGAGGGGAGGGCTTGTGTGCTGTATGTGGGAGTGTCGGACATTGTTGTATTATTTTGATTGGTTTATGTCCCTTGTGTGCCTGTGTTCCATCAGGTCCAGGGGGTGTGCCTCTGGCCTGAGGAATTGTATAAATTGTGAATGCTGGCTTGCATTAAACAGACCTGCTTTACCACTTCATGAAGTCTTGGCTCATGTTTGGGGGATGGGATAACTGCACTCTTGGGGATTGCTATAATCATAATACTCCCCTGAGTATAAGCTCTTGTAAGAGCTTGTTGCTGCTACGCTCTCTGGAGTAAGAGAGGTCTACCTACTGGAAGCTGGATCCTGATCTTGGGTCCAGGGTGGGTGGAGGACGGCGAGACCCCGGCGCAGCTGCATCGCTTGGAAGTGGGATCTGCAGTGCTTTTGGTGTCTGGTGGAGTGCTTGGAGTCCTCTGCAAGCACTAGGAGCATCGATTGGCGGAGGTACTCGGTCAGAGTGCCAGCGATCCGTCACACTTGTCTTTTAATACTATATCTCAGTACCGTAAGCATGTTTCACAACCTACTTTATTATCTCTATTTACATGTCTTTGAAGTTGCCTGCATAGAATAGAAGCTTTCTTTCAATATTTCCTCTAGACATGTTCTGCGTAGCCTGTACCTTATATCACTTTAAAAAATTGTGCAGTACACTCGAATGCCTTGTAACTGTTATGCTTTGTTCAGCTAATTGTCTTGTCACTGCTGTTGGGGCATTGCAAGAATGTTTGTTACTCTTATGCACACAAAAATAAAGAAGAAAAAAAAGAAAAAAAGAATGAATAAACAAAACATAGTATGATATTGTTTAAAACTGGAATGATTACGCAATGGTATGTAACAGAGCAGCATAATAAGGTAGCCAAAAATACTTTTGTTTTGTAAAATACAGAATAAAACCACAATGCGTTTCACCCTCTTTTTCCACGTGGATAAAACATATAATTTTGTGCTTCATATCATAGAATATTTACTCTTCCAATATTTATCTATGTACTGCAGGATCAGTGCATTAATTATATAAAGAAGCTTTTTGACAGGAGTAGACAGCTCTTTCCTGGATTAAGGCATTTTTTGTGGATTGCTATCCAAGGGTTGGCATGCCCACTAACAGTGGAGGTCTGTGTCATCCTTGCTAAATCCTTTGTATAAAATCATTATTGCATTAAGCTATGAACTGTTGCTTGATGCTACAGAATGTTTTATAAATTGTGGCAATTTTACCTGTAGTACAAATAATGGAATAAAACATTTAATATAAATGTTTTTTTTTTTCTATCCATTGTATTTTCGGATGGCACTCCACAAATAAAACAATAGAAAATGTAAAATGTTATGCAAAAGCAACACAAATTAAAAATGTTATGCAAAAACTGTTTTAACAAAAAGTGTATATTTCTAAAGTTCACACAAGAAGCCAATTAAGTATTGACGTATTTCTTTACTTTTAAAATCGTTTCTTTGATTTTTGAGAATTACATTTTGCTGTTCTAAAGCATTCCTTGGTTGCAATGTGTAATAACTGAAAGGAAATCATTTGTGACTGGTAGCACGAAAACACTCATTTTCATAATAGTAGTACACGTAGAAACAATTAAAATAAATTATAATATAGTTTACCTTCAAGCCAGATGAAAACATCAAAGTCTATCCAGAACTGATGAGCCATTAAAGCTCATCAACAGCTTATGCTCACCCCGTGTAGAGAGAGTTGCATGGAAAATATGATTACAATGATAGAAGGCCATTTGTGATTTAGAATTACACAGACTGAAATGAAATCAAAGTAATTTATTACTGAACACTTTTTTTCCCCTCATACTTTTTTAAAATATTGTGTGGACTAGATTTAGCTTTGAGTTACAATTTGTTTTATCTCCAATTTCGGTATTCAGTAAGCAAAACTCCTCCATAAATGGAACTAATTTTACACAGAATCACAAGGAATATATCACCTAAAGAGTGGTTGTAGTATTAATGTAGAATATAGAATCAGTATGTACATTGTAGCAGCAGCGCTAAGCCATATACACTGTATGTCCATTCTTTGTGACATTATTAATATTATTAGTAAAGGATTATAATTTCTGCCAACACTCTATAGAAATGAAAGTTAATTTAAGGTATAAGAACTGAATTTGGTCCTCAGATATCCACTAAGGTTCCACACATTATCTACATAGAGGCTAGCCATTAATTTCAGAAGACCAATTAAATAGGCTATATATATTACTTTATGCCCTATTGCATCTTCTTCAGGAAGCCTGTTGCAAGTTGGAGAATACATGAGAGAGTACCACATGGAAAGAGATAGTTTATTAGGTTTGGTAAAGGCTATGAAGGCTGCAGAAGGTATATTTTGGACTGTACTGTTATGAGATAGTGGGAGGTGTAGAAGCTTTACTCATCTGAAAGAGACAATCCGGAGACCATAATATATAGGTGGAATAAAGTGAGTATTGAAATAAGTAGAGCTGGGAAATAGAGAGAACAAATATAATGGAGAGAAACTTCTCAAAGATTCTTAGCAGGGTTCAATACGATGTTATGTTTTGCTGTAGTTCATCATAATTCTTTGTTCTTGTTCTCTTGTTGCATTATGAATGTCCATGGAGTTCATCACCTGTACTGAATGCTCAGAGCTGATAATAATATCAAAACTGGCCTCAATGTTTGATCCTAAATAATTCTACATTTATATAGGTATGAGTTTATGATGCCGCTATCTATGAAGGCAATTTTAGAATTGAACAATGAAGGGCTCAATTTATTAGTGCACACAAAAACCAACGTAAATAAGAAAAAGATCTACGCTTATATTTCTTTTAAAGGACCCATGAGATTTACTAGATCTAATAAATACCATCAGAGAGTGTCCTACAAGATTAGATATAGATGCTAATAAACGATTTTCATGTAACTTTTACCCAACGCTATACATTTTTAACGCTATCCTCAAATCCAAAGGTAAATTTCGAGAGATTGTTTTCTGGACCCTGGTCGACTTTTGCATCCTTAAGACGATATTAAATTTAAGAATTTAGCTTGCATAGGTAGCAAAATATTGGCCAACAGTCT